ATTTGCATTTGAGTTTACTTTAAAACCAGCATATCGAAGGTTGATTTTCAATGCAGGTCAATTGTTCCCCTCTAGGAAATTAGTGAAACAGGCTCTTTTAACCACTGTTAAGCCGTCTATAGCATTCTAATCTTAGTAAATATTAATAATAATTTTAAAAAATTTCAGTCAGTGAAAATGAAATTATTAATATTAAAATTAAAATTTTAAAATCCTAGAATTTTTTGCAGCACATGATGAAATTCTCACATTATTTAGAATTGTTGAAGTTATCGCTAACATTTTTTGTCGAGATTTACAAACTACGTTTCGTTCAAGCCAATCGATGAAATTTGAATAAGCTGAATTGTTCGGAAAATACGTCGATAACAACGCTACTTCGCGGTTTAAAAATTTCTTTAATTTACTTTAATTTTATAGAACTTCATGATAAACAATATATTTTAAGAGAATTTCTGTTTTCTTTTTAACAGCGAAGAATAAATTCCTATGATTTCTTAATCTTGAGCGTCCAACATACAACTAGCCATGGAGCCAAATTCAAACTTTTTGAAGGGTTTGGCCTTGTGATTTGTTTATTGTTCTTGCAACGCAGGACGAACTGGAAACTGAATGATTTTATATAATAACCTAAAGAAAAGATATGCAAAAACAATATTGCATTTTTATTGAACTTTCCACCCCACAACTCCTTTCCCAATGATGAATCATCGCAAGCTACTCACAACTTTCCAGGTCAACTGTTCTAACGATCTACGTTTCTAGTTCCGCCAGTTCAGCCCTTCACATCTAAGACCAGTCATGCCACCTATACAGGATCACCTCAGCCTCATTCTCTTCGGATTTCATTAGTAAAAAGAAAGTTCAACTCAAACAGCTTCTTTCTAAACACTGACGCTTGGTGAAACTCACCCCCAGAAGGATGACTTCTTGACCCCCTACAATCTTAATCTATTCAGATCTAGGGTTAACCGTTATCTTTCCTCAGGTAGTCTGAGTTTTTTTTTCTTCTCTCACTTACGTCCATCCAACAGTCTCATTCAGTAACGCTTTACCTTGAGTGGCTCTTGGGCATTTGCTGAACATTTATTTAAAAAAAAAGTCTTTATGTTTACGATTTGTGGTATTGGGGTATGAAGAAGATTGAAGTCCGGTAGCTTTGGGGAGAAATAAAAAAAACAAAAAAAGCAAAAAAAAAAAAAAGCATAAAAAATCGATTATCGACAACTGAAAAGGGTCGTTTGTTGACATTGGGAAAATGAGATAGCCGGAAACTTGGCACGCTTCGCAAGTTGTCAGTCGATTGTTGACTTTGCTGGAGCGATGTCATTAAAAAAATGGTGATCATTTGTGTGAACTCGTCAAAATTCACCAAGGAATCTACAGTCCCCAAAAAGAGCGTCGGTGTCCAGCTTCGGACGATCGGACACGGCAAATAAATGAGTTGGTTTAATCGTTCAATTTTGCTTATAACTCGGCAACAGATCAGTAGGATTATTTTCTCTCTCTCTTTTTTTTCTTTTTAGGCAGATAAAGAAGTCTGTATTTATTTATAAATATTTTGTTACATATCAACACTGCGCATGCCCGTAAGTATGATGCGTATGGGAGGCGGGAAACAAAACCGTCGATAGTTTACAATAAACTAAGCTCTATAAATGTCAGTTGTGAAATTCAAGATAAAATCTAAGAGATTAGGAAACAAATGATAAAGAAAATCTTTTTGCTGACGTATTTTTTTAGTATTTTCTAGCAAAACGTGAATAAAATTGATTAACGAAACAAAACAAAAGTTCTTACTTCGAACGCCAAAAACAAAACTATCCAGACATGCGCAAAGTAAAGCTCATGATACATTGATACTTACTTATGCATAGAATAAGATATACTTATTCTATTTAGCTTAGTCTGGGTCAAGGCCAAAAATGCTGAGTGTTCAGAGAAATCGACTCTCTACAATTACTAACAGTCTGTGCGATTTCGTTACTAAGCCTAATTTAGTCTGCCATAAGGCAACAAACATTGAACACTTATTGACATAGAATAAAACATACTTCCTCATTTTAGCTTAGCCTGAGACAAGGCCAAAAATGAGTGTTCAGTGAAATAGACGTAATAACAGTCTGCGCGATTCCGTTACTAAGCCTAATTTAGTCTGGCCCAAGGCAACTAGTATTGAGCATCTAATGACATACCCAATTTGGCTTAGTCTGGAACCAGGCCAAATATGCGGAGTGTTCAGTGAAATCGACTCTCTACACGTAATAAGTCTGCGTGATTCCATTACTAAGTCTGGCCCAAGGCAACAAGTATTGAGCACCGATTGACGCTTTTTTGCATGTAGATAGTTTAAAAAGAATTGCGAGCGGAAATATCCTGGGATCCAGTTAAAAATACCTACAAATCCATTCAGACAGTCCCGATTGAAGGTGTTAAAAAAGGACCAAGATACGCCTCCCGAGTCGCCTTGGCTGCCTCATCCTTCAAATGAAATAAAACAACAACCCTCACAGTATTTGGCCGTAATGAGCTACCCTCACTATTACTGCACAGAGATGCACAGCGTATCAGCCCCGAAGAGATATACCAAAATGCTTATGGTCAGAGAAATGACAAACAAATCTCTGGTATATTATGGGCTATTTACTGCAACCAATCTAAATTCACCCAAACGAAATAAGCACGTGTTAACCAATCTAAATTCACCCAAACGAAATAAGCACGTGTTAACCAATCTAAATTCACCCAAACGAAATAAGCACGTGTTAACCAATCTAAATTCACCTAAACGAAATAAGCACGTGTTAACCAATCTAAATTCACCTAAACGAAATAAGCACGTGTTAACACCATATATCAATTAAGATTAGAAACTTATAATAATGAATATTATTATTTTTATTGTTGCTTTTTCATGCTCATTTTTCAAAATTATCAGTATTAAATTATTTATATTCTCTTTGTTGTTGTTTTAATTATCGCACAGATTATTATTATTATTATTATTATTATTATTATTGTTGTTGTTGTTGTTGTTGTTGTTTTTGTTGTTGTAGTTGTTTATTTACAAAATGAAATTTGTGCACACGCTTCGCTCTTGGGAAAGAATAATATCACACAATCGCAATGAATTTAATCAGGCTTCTTTCAGATGGCACGAACGTTACACTTTCCCGCCATAACTTCATCTGTATCTCTAATTGCGCATGCTCATAGACCGGTGAGAACAATGGCACCGGTGAGAATAATGCAATAATCATAGGAAAACCATCCTTTCTAGAATTAAAAATCAAAATTATGAGGTTCTTTTCTTTGTGTGTGTGTGTGTGTGTGTGTGTGTGTGTGTGTGTGTGTGTGTGTGTGTGTGTGTGTGTGTGTGTGTGTGTGTGTGTAAAGGGTTTAAAGCTTTAACCCCCACCCCACAAAAAAAAACAATATTTACTGGGCTTTCATGTCCAAACCTTACTAGCGCCAAATAGATCGATAAATTCTTTTGTTAAATGTTGAGCCTTGGTTGTTGACAGGGTTATCATTGAAATCAATAATTCTGAAGTGTAAATGATCGTCTCTCCCAACAGATCAATAAATTTGATAATGATAGCCATAAGGAGAATCGATCATGCAATGAAAATATAATTGTCATTTTTATGTTTCTTCAATAATTTCAGGAATTTTATGTTCTTTTCGCTTATCGATTCGTTTCGAATAGCAACTATTTTAGTTAAATATTGCTTGAAGATTAAATTTCTTTTTAACACTTTCTTTGTTATTGGACATTACCGAAGCCATCAATACTGCAGACAGTTTCGATTTTTATAGTTCTAAGGAACCTGAAAACTTTAAGATAGGAAACATGAACGCAGTCTTAACCCTTTGATCCCTGCGTTCCTGAACAACCTTAACCTTTCTGCCTGAGCTCCTGAGTCAAAATTCGCCAATTAATTGGAATATAATGTTTCAAGGTAGATATAAAAATAGCTACAAGTGTTTAGCCAACATTCAACCGGTGGCTAGGCATTAAGTCATTTTTCTCTACCACCGTCCAATCGTTGGCTGGGCATTATGTCATTTTTCTCTATCACCGGTAAAACGGTTGTCAGGGCTCAAAGAGTTTATGTAAATATAGAGTTTAGACGAGGAAACTTACTGACCTGGACATATATTTTTACAAATACAAGCTTGAATATTAAAATTAAAATTCTAGTTCTGAATTATAATCTAAAATGTAAAAACGAATACTTGAAATTATAATAATAAAAAACATTGAAAATTCCTTAACCCATTGAGTCCTGCAATCCTGAACAATTTTAACCCTTTCTTTCTGAGCTCCTGAATCAAATTTCGCAAATAATTGGTATGTAATGTTTCACGGTAGATATGAAAATAATTACAAGTGTTTACCCACCGTTCAACCGGTGGCTGGGCATTGAGTCATTTTTCTCTACCACCGTTCATCCGGTGGCTAGCATTGTCATTTTTCTCTACCACCGTTCAACCGGTCTATGGCTTTAAGTCATTTTTCTCTACCGCCGTTCAACCGGTAACTAGGCATTACGTCATTTTTCTCTACCACCGTTCAACCGGTTGCTGGGCATTAAGTCATTTTTCTCTACCACCGTTCAACCGGTTGCTGGGCATTGAGTCATTTTTCACTACCATCGGTGAAGCGGTGATCAGGGTCCAAAGGGTTAATAATCTTTTATTTTCGTTTCTCATCGGTAGAATTCTTAGATTGATTGTTTTTAGATTAGCGGCATATCAACAGCTCTATGGGCTATTTAATCCCGAAACCTAAATATCTTGTAAGCAAGTTTTTTTTAGATAATAATGTTTTTTTAGTTATTAAAGTCGTATTAATTAACCCATAGTTTTGGGGAGAAAAGCTGGAATCATATCTTTCCCAAGAGAAAGCGAATATAACGAACCCAACTGGAATTAGATCTCGGCTCTACAATTAACAATTCTGAACCATTATCCATTACACTAACCATACATCCACGATTACAGCACCTGGTATTCCCAAATGATCACCCATCAAGGTACTGACCAGGCTCTACGTTGCTTAACTTCGGTGCTCAAACGGGAACCGGGGTTAGGGTAAGTCTCGAATTCTTAGAAAGTACAATAATTATTCCACTGCTGAAACATTTGTTCTCGTATGATTACTGATGTTAAGCAACGTCAAGCCTGGTCAGTAAATTGATGCGTCACCGTTTCGGAATACCAGGTTGTGGCATTGGATGTGCGGGTGGTGTAATGGATAAAGTTTTGGAATTGGAAATCTGAGGGGCGAATTTCAATTGCAGTCAGTTCGTTATATTCACTTACGCGTAAACAGCCTTGGGAAAGATAAGAATCCAATTCTTCTCCTTTCAGACTTGTGTCAGAAAATCGTTTATTATCTCCAAGAAATTCTTAGAATCTAAAAAAAAAAGATTTGCTGGCTTTAAGTAATCAACAAAAGCTTGATAAACTGTAAAAACAGATGAACGTGTATCTTAACTAAGTTTTCTATTAAAGAAAAGGGTCAGACTTGCCTTGTGAATATCAAACCCATTACTCTAGTCTAGTTGATTTTATCGCTTATCTTCGATTTTAGACAGAAAGCGAACAGTCTAGCTTCATCGAGAAATGAATAAACCTGAGATAAACGATAATGTTCACACTCTTTCAAGTAATAATAGCCGACAAGAGAGATGATTTAACAGTGAGAAGACAAGAGCTTATCCATTATAATTTGGTTATATTAGATTTAGTTTCCCGTTTTTATTAACCGATTTTAATGACGAATCTATCAGTCTAAGTACTAATCATAGCATTTTAATGGCGACATTTTAAATGCAGGACTGTTACGCGATATCTGTCCTCCAATATGTCGAGGAATGCTGGATAATCTTCTCAAAGATGAAGAAGAGACTTGAAGCAATAGAAACGTGGTTCTACAGAATAATGTTAAAGATGTCGTGAACCGAACATGTGAGCAACAACGAGGTTTTAGGGAAAATAGAAACAAAATGGAAAGTTATACTTAACATCAGAAAGAGAAAGTTGAAATTTCTAGAGACATGATAGGGAAAGAGGGCTTAGAAAATATGATACTCACAGGACAGATTGAAGGCAAGAGAGACTGGGGAAAACAATGCGTAACATTCTCAGTGAGCTTGAGTAAATGGATGGCGGAATAAGGTTTAGGAGTAATAACAAAAAAGACAACATTTATTACGAGCTACGAGGGATAGGAATTTGTGGAGAGCCTTGATCACCTACGTCCTGAAGGGACACGGCAAAATAAGAAGAATATAAAGTTAAATTTTTATAAAATAATGAACACTTCAATTATATGACATTTTTAATTAAATGACATAAATAAATATAACAAGTAAATAAAAGAACAAATGTCAGTTATGTGCCATAAGTGATACACGCTTGGGTGATCATGTATCTTTCGATAACTGACTGACGAGGCAGATTTTTTCTCGCAATAAGTTGCCATTTCTTTCTGCGGTAGACTGGTTGCAAACCAAAGAAGCCAGTCTGTTTTTCCATAGATCATGGAGAAGAGATGGATATATATCTTTCCTAATGGTATTTGTGCGTGAATCTGACAAAACCGACGGGAATTCGAACTCGGCTCTCTGAGTTCTCACTCCGAGCCGATAGCCATTACACCACAACGCTAACACTGTTTACTTATTAAGGAATCAATATTTGCCTTTACAATTAATTTGAGTTATAATTAATTTCCGTTCTGAGGAACCAATTATAATGACAATGTGGCATTCTCACTGATCTTCACTTCACCTTTAGCACTCTATATCATTAATATTACTTCCCTTTCCGCTGCACTCTTTTTCAAGGCCTCTCAATCGAAGTATCCTTATTATTAATTTCACTCAAAAGTGTTTTCTGTTGCCATAGCAGGATACGACAATACAACTATGAAATTCAAAGAAATTCAGTTTCAAGGATCAGAATCACATTCACTTGCAGGATAAACTTTCTGCAAATGAAGTTACATCTAGAATGATAAAGGTTAAATGAAAAATGGCTTATACATGACAATGTTTAACCCCAAAGTGGGCGGACGAGGATCAATCTCCGTAACGGCTCCCAAATCTGAGCTCTATGGAAAAAAGGTGATCCTGTACGTTTGCTGGGAACGTCAAGCAATAATTTTAGAGTTCTTAAAACGCAGTGATGCGCCAGATGTACGTTTTAACATCTGTCTATACTTCTGAGATGAGGCATTTTAACTATTTACATTATTTACATCGTTCGGACTGCTATTCTCGTCTTTTCTGCCATATTTACGACGTTTCGGTCGTTGTACACCCCGACGTTCTTCAGGTGATATAAGTTGGAATTTCATAACGAACCCTTTATTATATTCAACAAATGTCACCTGAAGAAGACCGAAGCGTACAACGGCCGAAACGTCGTGAATTTGGCAATAAGGACGAAGACAACAGCGCGAACGATGGCAACAGCACATTTTAATGCCGAATGTCTGCAACGAGTTTATGAAATGTTTAGTCGAAAAGCAATCTGCGTTCTTCGATACGAAAAAATTTGGTACTCCTGCAATAACTACACACGAGATCATGCATCATTAATTCGAGAATGAAATTTGGAAACTCCTACTCCATCGTCCATATTCACCTGACCCAGCACCAAAGGAATGTATTTCCTTTTTCAATGGCTGTAAAATGATCTGATGGAGGAAAACATTCTCCAATGAAAACTACATCCAAGAGTTCTTCGAAAACTCTCTTCAAATCAAAACTTGCAGAATTTTACTCAAAAGGTGTCTGATGAGTGGTAACAATTCCATTGCAAATTATGGTGAATATATAACTGAATAAGATGCAATTGTAGTTTATTTTTTGAAGGATAAAATTTATAAACTAAAACGAAAATTATTCATGACTCAATCTAATAATTCATATATAAGCTACAATTACTACTACTACTACTACTGACTGATTGGTTTGTTTGTTCAACGGTCTATCAACACCGCAACGTAATTTTTCTTATGAGCGTTGGCGTATTAAAAAATATGATATGATATTCTGCTTTCAAATTTAGTATATGATAAATGATATTCAGCTTTTATGCATATACATGATGGTGTGGATGTAATTATTAGAAGTGATATGTGCTTTTATGCTGTAGTTGTGTTGAAATTATATTTTGGAATAAATTTTGATTTCTTTAAGAAATTGTAGGATATTATATGGTTTAATTTCATGAAAGTATTCTTTCATGTTCGTTGGTTGCTTTTGCTTAACGGCATATCAAACTCTACGGGTTATTTAATGTCGAAATACACAATTTTATAGCTTCAACTAAATATATTTAGAAGGCACTTGTATGCCTTTAAGTAGAGATAAAATGTATTTCCGGTCATGTTACTTTAAAAATGTGTCGTTGCTAATTTTACTATAAATAGGTATTGTTGCTAATTTTATTATAAATAGGTACTGTTGCTAATTTTATTATAAATAAGTATTGTTGCTAATTTTTTTTAGATAAAAATGAATTGCCGTTATTTTTACTATAAAAATGTATTATTACACTATCATAGTGTTTTGTTTGGGTCTCCAGTACTTTCCCATAGCCGGGACCCTAACAGGTGCTACAACCCTGAGTTAGGCTGGACCTGGGAACAACAGCAATTAAGAGGTGGTTCCGCGCTCCTTAAAACCTCAAATGACTTGATCGCTTGCTGCTGGATGTAGTTTATCCTCATACCCAGGACTACTACTAATGCTGCTACTATTATTATTACTACTAATAATAATTGTTTACGAAATAGATGATAAAATTGTTGAATATTGCTGTAACCTAGATTAGGTTACTGAATGGGGAATAGCCATAAACTGACTTTGGTAATAAAATGATAATCTTTATAGCATCAACAAAATACAACACTCACCAGCGGTGTGAAATAGGTAAACCACTGCTAGTGGCGGACTACATAGCATATTACCCCCACTTACAATAGTGTCCAACGTATTTATGGGGATTGGGACATAACCATTAATGTTCATAGGTACGGTATATAGATAGATAGATATTAATAGAATGAGATAAACATGAACAGAGGTAGATATCAACAGAATTAGATAGATAGATAGATAGATAGATAGATAGATAGATAGATAGATAGATAGATAGATAAATTTCTATAAAGAGTTAGTAATAGACTTAGCTAGTGTTGTAATCTAGAAAAGGTTACTGAATGAGGAATAATCAAAAACGGAGGTTGGAAATGAAATGGTAATCTTTATAAGATCAACAAAATACAATACTCGCCAGCAGCGTGAAGTACGTAAACCACTGGTAATGGTGGACTACTTAGACAGCATATTCCCCCCCCACACACACACACACTTAAAATAGTATCCAATGTATTTATGAAGAATGAGACATACCCATTAATGTTCGTAGGTCCTCTATATAACAAATATGAAGATGTTATTTGTGCCAATCTTGGTCGACTTGGAACAGGCTTGAAGAGCCTTGCAAAGAATTTGAATGAATTGACAATTTCAAAGTCTCCCTGATGGGCGCCACCACCTTCTTTGGGGTCAATGTTCGTTGGTGCCAACTGGATATTTTCTCTCCAGTGGGACAGAAGAAGGAAATTACTGGAAAGTAATTGAAACTCTTCTGAAGCGAGCTGAATGTGTAATGCTCCTCATGTCTCCAGTGGGACAAGTTGAAGTCTATCGTATTTATGCTTTACAAACCTAGTATCTCTATCTCTATCTATCTATATCTAACCATTTTTTACAACGTCAGGTGGATAGTTTTTGAATTCAGAGTAGTTGCCAGCCAAGTGTAGAGAGGTCAATCTGCTATGCTATTTAAATTTATCTGGGAGAAGTAGAAGAAGACATAAATTCATTCCTTTCCCAATGGTATTTGTGCAAAAGTGAATGTAGCGAACACGTAAGGAATTCGAAATAGGCTTGCCTATTTCATTTTTTTTCGAACCGCTAACTATAAGCATTTTAAACGAAGGTATTAGTCAAAACAATTAAGACAATGCTGACACCTATGATTCATAAACTGCATGAACACACTTGGTAA